AGCAGAGTTTTATTAACTTCCTCAATCCTTCTGGGATTCTCAACAATTTCCTAAACAAATTTGATCATAGTCCTACTAATGGTTGCCCATTGGTTTTAAAAAATAAAGCATTAAAACCATTCAGCCCCGAGCCTTGAGGGCCATATTAAAAATCACATCCTTAATTTCTTCATCATTAGCAGGTTTGCCGCAAAGGCAAAGAAAAATATCGTCTACATTGGGATAAGAAATAGAGCAATCAAGAGGTGGATGATAACTAACCTTACCAACGAAAAGATTAGAGAAGTAAGAAGTGGCAGTCAGCTTAATTTCATCAGTATCATAAATCTAATCTCCTTGTTCATTACAAATGGCATTAATCTTATTGATCTTACATTGTTTGTTTGCATTTGAGTGAAAGAGTTTGGTATTACCATCCCCATGCAAGTTCCACTCAACTCTAGCTTTTTATGCCCATAAAAGAGATTCCTAGATTAAAATTTCTTCAAGATCCTTCCAAAGAGAGAGTTGTAATTCCTCAAGTATACTTACGTCTCCTCCATGATTAAATGCTTGAACAATATCATCCAGATGTCTCATGATCTACTTCTTTCATGCATTAATATTCCCAAAGGTTGTTTTATTTCACCTTGAGCAAGCACCTACAAAACTTAAAAATATTCGAGTACCAATCTAGATCTTCCTTCCATTCATGTCTAACATAATCATCAAAGTGATCGTGAAGGACCTAAGAGGCAATAAGATGAAAAGGTCAATTTTTTCTCCTCGACCCTTCACTAACATTGAGATTAAGAAGAAGAGGCCTGTGATCAGATTTAAAGTGTGGGAGGTGTGTCACTGTAGCATTAGGAAATAAGGAAACCCAGCTTTCATTGCAAATGAATCAGTCAAGTCTAGCCGCTGTGTCCCCACAAGACCACATGAGGCATAGGCCACTAAAGTCTAAATCAATTAAGTCAATCCCATCAAACCAATCAATAAAAGCCCTATCACTAGATAATCTGCGACGAGCTTGAGATTGACATTCATGATCATAGAAGGTAGCATTAAAATCTCCTCTAACAATCTAGGGTCCAGGATAGGAGGCATGTATTCTTGTTAGATCATGCCAAAGACCATTATGAATGAAAGGGTTAGGCCATTATGAATGAAAGGGTTAGGGCTGGCGTAAATCACCATAAGAAACTAATAAGTACCTGTTATCTCCTCAATGCAAAGATGAATAAATTGGAAGTTAGATTTTAAACCATGAATCTTCTTCCCATAAGCATTCCAAAGACACCAAATTCCACTGCTATAATTGTCGATATCCATAACCTCACTGTATTGAAATCCCAAAGACACTACTCTTCTTGCTACAATATCCATATTGAAGCGAGTTTCAAGAATAGCTAAGAAGTCAACCTTATAATGAGACTTCATCTCCTGGACCAGAGAAGAAAAGGTCTTACTGCTAGTCCCTCTTGAATTTCAAAGTTATATAATCTTAAAACTAGTTGGGGTTGTTGGTGGGAATTATCCTCTCTCATACTTAAGTCATTTTCCATGATTGCATCATTTGTAGTCATAGATTTAGTTAAAGGGTGTTCATCCATGGTTCCACGTCATTAATTTTTCCTCATGAAGGTAAGTCACCTTCAGGTGTTCGACTAATGTCTGCTAGCCTATTCAGTGTGGCAGCTGTATGAATTACATCTATAAACACAAAGTTACTAATAGTACCGCTAGCTCCTGGATCTAAATTATTGTTGAAAGGCAGTGGCCGACATTGAAGTACATTAAAGGTGTTGGAAGTCAAGATGGGCTTAAAACTTGAGAGGCCACCATGTGTTTCTTTTTGTTTCTCTCAATAGTGCCCATGTGATTCTCCTTCCCTTTCATTTTGGGTTTATTTGAATTTTCCCTCTTTTCTCCAACCATGGTCCAATCAGATTTATTTAGCTCCAAATCTTGACTAAACGCACATTGACTAAGGTCTTCCTTTTTGTTTTTATCCCCTTCCTTCACCCTGAAAATATCCTTCCCATGTAATCCTCTATTATTATCTTGAATCAAAGTAGCTCTGTGTAGATTTTTTGACAGTATATCACGTATCGATTTTTACTTGTTCTTCAGCCTACCTTTTTGCTCCAATCCCTTAGATTTCTCCTTGTTTAAACTGCTTCAAAAATCATGTGAACAATCATACTCAGCCCCCATTCATTGCTGCCACCGGATCTGTCATCGCAAACTGTGTCCACCATCGTGTTTGCACCCCTTTCCATACCATCTTTATTGAACTGACATTTATCTGTTGTATCAGCATGCAACATAGACTTTGTGGGATCATGAACCTGCTATTCATCCGTATTATCAGAGCAGTGGTCTCTTGTGTGGTCGTATTTCCCATATAAGAAGCAAATCATGTGGAGACCCTCATATGCCATGGGTCTACCTTCACCACACCAGTCAAAAAGTGGGAGTAATGGCTTCTGCAAATCAATCTCAACAAAAAGCCGAGCAAATCCTCCTTTATCATATATTGAAGTAACCTATCAACCCGAATAATTCTTCCTATCATATTACTAATTCTTTTAAGTAACTCATCATTGTAAAGTTCTAATAGTAGATCTATTAGTCTAACCCATATAGCAATTTTGCATTGTGTATCCACTTTCCAGCGATTGAAATTAGGCCGTCGTTTCTGCACCAAGAGATAGTGGTCATCAATCATCCATGGGCTCTCTTGAAATGCATAATCTCGATCCTCCTTGTTCACAAAAGAGATAGTGAAATAACCATTGCTTATCGGAACAACCTTGATCTCCCCTTGAGTCTTCCACATGCAAATAATTTTGTCTCATATGAAATGCTTCAGAAAATCAACCCCCAACAATTTCACAATCACAGAGTTCATCCATGGCTTACACTAAGATGCATATTCTTTAGCTGTGGCATGAAGTTTAGGCCATTTACCCTCATGACAGTCATCTTCATGTGATTCGTCCTCATCAGACCTATCATTCTTCTGAGCAACTTCCTCCTTTGAATTTCTCTTTAAAAAGTAAGCTTTCCACCTGTTAACGATATCATTTTCTTCATCATGTTTGACTAGGAAACTAGCACCCCCGACAGCAAGAAGTTTATCTTTGTAGGATATAGGCACTGGACATCGGTGAGTAGTAGCCTGATCTTAACTCGAAGACTTCAAAAACTTATCTTTTTCCTTTGTTGAACAGCCGAAAATGAACTCTATGGGCAAAGACTCTAGACCTTTATCTCTCTCTTTTCCATCACCTCGGACACCAACGTTTTCACCCCTACAATCGCCTCTGATTGCCTCTCACATCACCTTGTGTTCCAGCTATTTTGAAACACAGTTATTACGTTTTGCCTGTTATCATGTCGAAATTCAATTGCTGAATATCAGCGTCAAAGGTCCAGCATGCACACACGTGTTTGTGGGGGATTATAGTGTTAGCACATCAAAAGTCGCACATGAGATAAATTATTATTGAATATAATTTGGCTAAACACTAATGTGTAATTTCTAAAGATCTTGTAAAATTTGCATCTTCTTCCAAAAATTTGTATTCTTCCCTTGCATTCAATGAATGGGATAAATAAGTGGAATGAAAAAAAGTTGTTCCATCCATTCTATTTATATGTGCGCGATGGTTAGCTAATATAGCTTTTGTTTCCATCAAGGAGTAAATTGGAGAAGCCATTTCTTAAAGAACACGAAGCAAAAGTTGATCTCAAGCCATTCATTCAGTGTACATAGTTTTTCCCTGAGTGGAATATAGTTATCATATTCATTAAAAAAATGCAATTGCTTAATATTCACATTTGTTTACTCAATGCACAGAATTTTATAAAGGATTTATTACTGCTAAACTTTAGTATGAAGGAACATAAAAATTAAAACTAGGATGAAGGATTAAGGTAATTTAATTGACTATTACTCCTCCAGTCCAGTATATAAGTCACTTTCTAAAAGCATAATTTGGTCCACTTTATTAATCATTTGTTGATAGGATTGTTTTATTTTAAATTAAAATTCTTAAATTACCCTTAAAAAATAAGAGAGAGAAAGACAGAAAAAATAATATTATATGATTGATCTACTTTTTGCTTTTTATTTGAGGGTTATGTTTGAAATTTTATTTATTTTAATTCCTTATACTTTTATTGTATTAATATTGATGAGATTGATAAAAATAACTTATAAATAGGATCGGAGGGAATATAATCAATATAAAATCTCTCAATAATGCCTTAAAATGAAAGTTGGGTGCTGCACAAATTACGAGGACAATCTTTAAAAAATGAGATTGTGCAGTTTTTAGTTAAAAAAAGTATTAAATTTAATTAAATAAATGTGATTTTTAAAAAATCTTTACTTTTAAATAATTGAATCAATATAATTTTAAAATCTTTATTTCTAAAAAATTAAATTATAGAATTTTAAAAAATATTTATTGTTAAAGAGTTACTATATTTTGCCAAGATCACCCTGTTCTAGTCTCTGAATTTGCGATTTCCAAGAAAGATGAGATCATTATCATGCTTCAGGTTTTTTTTTTTTTTGAGCCAAACATGCTTCAGGTTTCTAGGCATTAGTTTAGTTCAGTTTTTTTTTATTTTCTTGTTATAAAAAATAACTTTTTCTCAAATAATATATTTTTATTAATAATTGTTAAATACAATTTGAGATGTTATAAGAAAAATTGTAATATGAGATTTGATTAAGGATAATTTAATGTTAACCGTTAGTATCTCTCTCTGTCTCTCTGTGAAAACATCGTAAGTTTGAATCCAAAAAAATGGTTAGGTCAGGGGTAATTTTTTTTTTTAAAGGGACAACTTAATATTTTTAAATTTATATTTTGAGATTCGGTCTGTCTAAATAATTATTATTTCTAAGTTACTCTCCAATAAATATTAATTTTTTTAATTTTCCCATTTTAGAATTACGGATCTCCGACTTCACTACAGAAGCGTGAAAACAGAAACACCCTGTAACATCGACCGCAATGGAAAAGGAAAAAAAAAAAAAGAATTTCGTGAAATTCCACTTTGATTGATGGAGTTGTATTAAAAATAACTTTTAGGGGCGAAGATCACCGCTTTCGCTGATCTTGGAAGATTTCCTTCACTCTCGCTACCTTTCTTAGTAGTAAGCCATCTTGCTTCTTGTCATGAGATTCTGAGAACGTGTTGGAAAGTCGCTGACCTCTTTTTTGGAGAATTGTAGAATGTAGCATGCTTTAAGGCTTGGTATACCTTGGCAATCAAATTTTCTGAATTTCTTGAGTGCTTTGTTGTTTCGCGCAGTTCCTTTTTTGTTTCTTTCGACCGCGAAAATGGATCCATCTACAGTTCTGTTTAACCAGCTCAAGGTTTGAAGCGATCTGCTTCTTTTTTGTTTTCCTCAGCAATATTTGTTTAAGCATTTTGCGAGTTATGCTAATAATGCATGTTTTATTATTTAATTTCCTTTGCATCTGTTACTACAGGGTGCAAACCCATTCTTTCTGCTAGCGGGTCCCAATGTGATTGAATCTGAGGAGCACATTCTACGAATGGCTAAGCATATTAAGAATATCACATCGAAGTACGTTATTCCTAGCTTCCTACTTCTAACTTCTTTTGTGGGCTACTGGCAACATACGTCTCTTTCTCGTTCTTTTTTGTTTTGTGAGCCATAAAGTTTATCTGGCACTGCTGTACTAATATTTGTCTCCTCCATAAGCTAAATTAGTTCGCTCTGTACTTCAACTTCCATAGCCTGAATTTATTTGAAATGTCCTATCTGCTTCTCTCAGCTTGCTGTTTGCCTACTTTAGTCATGTAAAAATGTAATTTTTGTGAAATGTCAAAAAAATATAAAGTCAAGTTGGCTTACGAGATATATTTTTGTACGTGTGGGCGTCTAACATGATCTAGAGTATATAACTGCCAGAGTTGGAGTACCATTGGTTTTCAAGTCAAGCTTTGATAAAGCCAATCGGACATCATCAAAATCATTTCGTGGCCCAGGCATGGCTGAAGGATTGAAGGTTCAGAACTCTGCCACTTTTAATTGCACCATTGTAGTTTTGTTTCTTGAGCAAGTAGGATGTTCTATTTCGTTAATGATTCTGGAGTTTTAATAAAAGCATTAATTATAGATACGTAAAAAAGGAAGGAGTAATTGATATCTTACCAGATAATTTTGGCTGGATGTTGCACATGCCGACCTTGTGGTAGGAACCTGGGTAATCTTTTCTCAGCCCCTTGTAAGGTTCAGAAAGTTATGCCATGGGAGTGCTGTTCTGGTTTGGATGTCACCTCTTGCATTGTTAACTACATCATGGAAAAGGCTACTGTACAAATGCTACGAAATTTAGGAGGATTATTCATTTTTAATGGTAATTATGATAAAATATTTACATAAAAAGGAATTATGACTTTGAATATCTTCTAGCACAACTATTGTGACATGGCTAGAGTGCCATTTTTCTTTGACATGAAAATTGCATCATGGTAGTAAAATTGTTAAAACCACCGAATTTTGATCTTGATGAAGGCAAATTACGGCTCATGCTTAGACCAACTTGTTTTGAGCTTTTGCTGGCACTAATTTTGCTATGCTTTATTTTCAAGCTAACCCAAAGATTTGATTGTCTACATTTCTCATTATTTTCTACAGATACTTGAGAAGGTCAAAATAGCCTATGACATTCCTATTGTGACAGATGTGCATGAGACTATCCAGGTAATGTATGTGCTTATATCCAAACACAACTGTTCTGCCTGTTTGAATGTTTGGAACATATTTCAAATTTTTTAGCATTTTTGCTTGGATTAAGTCCCTTGTTCCATATTCCTGTTGTGATGAAGTTCATTCAAATTATCTGTCATTTTGATAGGGTATCTTATGCAGTATCAGTGATGCCAATTATGATACACGGATTGATGTATAATGTCATCATAATGTCGAATTTATGGTTTTAAATTTGGGAGTTCCGGGTTTATATGTTTAGGTCTTTACAAATTTGCCAGACTTCAGCCAGCAATCTGCAAATTTGTAAATCAGTTACATTTTTCAGTGGCACTAAAAAATTCAAAACACAATAAATGGTCATGATCTATGACCAAAATACTAGATAAAATTCTATACCTTTTGAAAGCGATGTGATTGGATGAAATTTACTTGGAAGAACAAGGCAAGAAACCGGGGTAGTGTTTTCTGATTTTAGATAAGCTTAGGAGTTCAGAGTAACAGATGTTTTAGCAGGCTGCGGTTTAGCTACCCATCCTTATTTCAATTATTATTTTGGCTGTTGAGCGCCCTTATGCATTGCATATTTGTGGGACTTCATGTATGTATCTGGATGGCCAAAGAAATTGATCTATCTGCATATATAACTTTAAAGAAAAAATTTGGTTTAGATGATTAATTGTCTTGTAAAGCTTGATTTGACTTTGCTATCTTTCCCTTTCTATTTGGCTTTTATCCCTCCAAACTTGTAATTAAATTGGCTAGCAATGTTTTATTGTTAAATTCTTGATATATTATTACTTTAATTTACTGAATTTATTGAATGGATGCTTCTGATACGTTCTCGTTGGAGGCGCATTTTATTGAATTTTAGAAAAATTATTTTTAACTTACTATTACTCATTACCTTTTCGTTTACCAGTGTGAACCAGTTGGCAGGGTTGCAGATGTTATTCAGATTCCAGCATTCCTATGTCGTCAAGTAAAATAATTTTTTCCCAATTCAGTTATCAGTACCTGTATAACTGACTGGCTTTTTTGGATGATAGATATCCTGATTTTATATAATTCTTTTATCTCCCCTCTTGACAGACAGATCTTTTAGTGGCAGCAGCCAAAACTGGAAAAATTGTCAACATCAAGAAAGGCCAGTTCTGTGCTCCTTCTGTAAGTATATTGTCCAACCTGATGTGTTAAAATTCTAATTGTTGTCTTGTCTATATATATATATATTTCATAAATATTAAATATGCAGGTCATGACAAATTCAGCTGAAAAAATTAGATTGGCTGGAAATCCAAATGTAATGGTTTGTGAGAGAGGAACTATGTTTGGTTACAGTAAGTTTATAGCATCTGTTTGAGCTCTTTATAATATGCCTTTGAGTTTGAACTGTGCTGATCTTGCATAACGATCAATATCCATATTACATGAGATGCTATAGTTCTTTCAGTATGCTAATTTATTGTAGTTTCACTGTAGTCTTGTGCTTGTTGAAGGTTCAAATTCAAGTTTTATTCTATGCCACCTGCTCTCCTCCCTGCCCTTTCTCCTGCGATACTTGGAATTTAGTTTTGCCGCAAGCAAGTTAGCTTCAATTAATGATAGGGTTTAAAAAAACCAAAATATATGAATCCTTTGCTTTGTTTTTGTAGATGATTTGATTGTCGACCCAAGAAACCTGGAGTGGATGCGAGAAGCTAATTGTCCTGTGGTAAGTAAATAATTCTAGTATGGCTGTCCTTAAAATATAGTGAGACTAGCTGCATCATTGTATTCTGTTCTATAAATGAAAGGCTTTAGGATATTCAGGGTAAAAGATATTCTTGCTTCTTCCTATCGATTTCTTAATAGCATTGCTCCCTGACCAATTAATGAAAGTACTATTAGTTTAAAAATGGAAGAATTATTGTAAACTCAGCCTAGAAGGTGATTTTAAAAATGGTAAATGTTTCTCTAATTAAATGCAAGGTTATGCCATCAAAAACTCGCATCTCTACCTTTTTTACCGCCTTAGGTGGAAGTTCTGCCATAGGTCCCTGAAAATGCTGATTTCTCTGACCTTACACAGCTACTGAAAGCTTGTACACGCAACTTTTCTTGAAGACCTTTTTTAATTTTTTTTTTTTTTTGCTGATGCAACTTTTTGACACAAGTGTTGTTCATATGCAAAGAACTTTATTGAAACTTTTTAAATAATTTTAAGACAAGCGTTGTTCAAATGCAAAGAATGTATTTTTTTGATGCATTACATAGGACCTATGTTATATCTACTGATATATGAATGAAAAACATAGAACATCTCTCTCGATTTATGACCTCAACTAAACATGGAATTTCCTATTCAATTTTCAAATCAATTGTGAAGAAAACCAGAATGTAGACGTTCATTTGTCTTTCTATGAAAATGAGACTAACTCCTTTTTGCGTTTATTATAGGTACTATTATTTTCAAAAGCTTTATTTTGTAAGCTAAATTTTAATTTTGGTGTATTTATTTCTTGGTGCTACCAGTTGAATAACAAAAATGCTGGAGAGGAAGAATGTAAAAAGGAAGTGAGGTTAATAGACTAGAGAGGACTTATGAAAGTAGAATTAAATGTAGACAGAAGAATATCTTTTCTTCTGCCTATCAACTGGTTACAGGAAGATTTCCTTGATTGATCTCTGATTTCTAGTCAGTGAGAACATAAATTGTTCAAATGATCCTTTGATCCTAGCTAGTTGATCAAATATCAATGCAGCAGTCCCCACTATGTCCATAAACCATTCTATTTCTCATTAAACTAATCATTAAAATATTTTTCTGCCTCAGGTAGCTGATATCACACATTCATTACAACAGCCTGCTGGAAAAAAGGTATACGTAGTATATTGTAATTCCCTTTTTTGTTTTGTACTAAATATGGTTCTACCTCTTCTTATTTTTTATATGTAGTACGTTATGCGGCAGATTATTCTAGCATGTGGTGTTTTTGACAGTTACGTAAGATAGAGATAACAAGAAGCCAAGCTCGAAGAACTACCTCCATTGTATATGTATCTTTAAAGGAGGACGCTCAATTAATCTCTATTTGTGTTTAACTTTTGAGGGAAAACATTATTTTGGTTTCACTATATCCTGATGTCAAAAATCCTTGTCCTACTTCCATTAGGTGCTGGAACAATATCAGTCGGAATCTTAATTTTTTTTGCTTACTTTCTTTGCTTTCCAATCCAGTAAGTCATTTTGTTGACCTATGAGCATATTTCATCTAGATAAGTGATTATATTTCTGCTTCTTTATACAGTTGGAAGGTGGAGGCGTTGCAAGTGGAGGCCTTCGAGAATTGATACCATGCATTGCAAGGACAGCGGTTGCTGTTGGAGTGGACGGGATTTTCATGGAGGTACAGTGAATACGCTAAAGCCAATATTGATATATATTAATTATACCATAAAATAATAGTTTTACCCAAAATATCTGGTATGGGACCCCTCTTGCTGTTCTGGTGTAGTTTGTGAAACTTTGATATGACGGAGAAACTGATTTGATAGTGTTTAACACTGTTTTCTACTTACGTATTGTGCACATAGAATATTTCAGGGTTACGCTACCATTTTAGTTTGTCTATCATTGAGATTCTAATATTTTTCCTCTGGTCTTTAGGTACATGATGATCCTCTGAATGCACCTGTTGATGGTCCAACACAATGGGTAAGTTTGGTTCTTATAATAATAATAATAATAATTTATATTTATAAACAATCCCTCTATGTTCATTTCTCTTTGGCTACTCTGTACATTTATATTTGAAAGGGGACCTTTGATGAATCATTTTTTAAAATTCCCTCGTATGACAGCCTTTGCGCCATTTGGAGGAGCTGCTGGAAGAACTTGTGGCTATCTCAGTAAGTCTGTCGGTTGAAATTTAATAAACTGTTATGAAAAGTGATGATTTTATATTGATAATAGTGTTAACCTTTGCAGCAGTGGATGATTTGCTATTCATGAACTTGAGTCTAATTGATGTAGAGAAACTGAGATTATGGAATCATTGTTAGTTTATTGATCGATATTCATGCTTATTTCTCTGTAATCCTCTCTGTTACGGCAAGAAATTTAGACAGATGAGAGAGAGAGAAATGAAGAAGACGGAGAAAAAAATGGAGTCTAGAGACAGAGAGAGGCAGAGATGAGGGGGAGAGTAAGGATAGCAATTTAAAAAATATTATAAATTCATCAGATTGGTCTGTGACTGTGTAGACAACCAGATATCTTGCTTGGCCTGCTTTTTACTGGACAAATGCTATTATATGTGAAATCAATTAATTTGCCCTGCTTTTTATTGGACTAGTGCAATTAGTTTGTGACTGTGCAGATATCTAATATCTTCCTACCCTGTTTTGATGACTGAATATTATTTATGATTAACTAAAAGAACAATTGCTATTAGGTTCTATTAGCTAGACGTTCTCTCAATACTCCGATTTTATGTTCCACTGTTCATATCCCATGTAGGTTCTTTTCAAATATGAACTGACTATTTTTGTTGTTAATATTTGGAATTTCGAATCTATATATTTGACTGATTATTCTTCGCTGTATTTTAGAGGGTAAGCAAAGGGAAACAAAAATTCAACATTGATCTCACGCCATACCGTGAATAAAAAGGCAGGCAATGTTTCATTTTCTACCTGTATTGAATGCTGGTGATAGTTTCTGTTTATGCTGTAATTTTCTAATCATTTCTTATCTATAGTTGATTACTCTCTGATGTAAATTTCAATTTGCAGGTAACAATGGCGTTTCCAGTCATGCTGAGTATGGTTTCTTGAGTACTGTTACTATTACTGTTCTTTTCAAGGTTCAAGGTTCAATGCGAAACCTTGAATCGTGTTCATTTTTCAACCTGCAAAAACTGATGTGAAATGTTATGTTTTGAAAATATTATCTGATGGTTCATTATTACTTCTTCCAGCCGCAAAGGACTTCTAATTGATATGTGAAGTCGGCAGATTTGGCTCTTCTTTATACAGGTTTTTTTTTTTTTTTGGGCCCCAGGGGGTGGGGGGATTCTGTAATACACAAAATAAAATCAATAATTGAAAAAATGATTTAATTGTCTGAAAGTTTCTTTCTATGAATTGAAATAAAAAAGAATTATTACTATCAAGTACTAATAATGAGTATATAATGTTTATACATATCCATTTTGCCTCCTACAATTATTATTATTATTTGGTTTTTTCCCCCCCTGGGATAGTAGAGTTACAACATGCTAAATATTTTTGCTCTCTTTTCAACAAACGTTTCCTAAGATTTCAAAGAAGACATTTCATTAGATGCTGACCTCAGTGGTTACGGCTCTTTTGGACTAGTGAGATTCGAGCATTGATTTTATAGCTCTGTGAGAGAGACAAGATCGCTGAAAATACACTGCAAATATTAAAATTATTAGGGCCATAAAAACGACAGAGGAATCACTTCATTTACAATGCCCTTTTAACCCCACGTAACTGTTGCTCTCCCATCCAAATTATTTACAGACAACCTGCTTCAGTCAAAATGGGAAGTCTAAGCTGTACGGAAATCTGTAGTAAGGGATTAGTGACTTTTGTTAGCTTCTATGAACTTGCCAGTTCCGTTGAGCCGACAAGATAAAAAAATGAACTTGCCACTTCAAAAAGTTTCAAGCCAGGTATTGTATTTCAAGAGTATCATTGACGCTTCCTTTGATATAGTGAATAACCCACGAGAGCAGACATCAGAAATGTCCATAAAACCTTCTCAAGAAAAGAATAAACAAATAAGTAAAACGGGGAAAGTCACAGTGAATTCAAAATGAGCAAGCATTCAGGAAAAAGGTGAGAATACCGTATTTACAGCAAGCCACCGTTCAAGCCTTCTAATTCTGGATTGCATCTCCTCGATAATTCCTTCCATAGGGGACGTCACCCTGCTTGGTGAGCATTCTGATGCTGAGCTGCTTCCCTGTTTATTCCAGCATGTTTAAACCAACTATATATGCAAAGACATGCATACATATACTCTCTTCGGTCTTTAATGTAAGGCAAACTTAACTAACCGCACATTCATTAAGAAATAGCAGTCATATATTCTTAAAATTGTTAATATATATATATATATATATAAAATTTTTCAATTTTGCCCTCCTTTGTAATTAATAATCATGATAAATTGTTGTCTAGGAATTCAAACAATAATAAATAAATAAGGATAAAATTGAAAAAAAAAACATTATTTATTCTAATTTTGTCTCAACTTCAGGATGAAAAAGTCTTTCAAAGTTTGTCTTGTATTATGAAGTAAAGGTAGTGTCAACCTGGGACTCCAGGCTCCCCCTCACATATACAAACAAGATTCCATACGTGCAGGCAATTAAGAGCCTGGTTGGTTCTTATTAAGTGCTTAGGGAGTGCCAAGAGATGTTTAGAATTTAGAAAGTCTTTTAAAGTGAAGGAGATCTTGTAGTGCACAAAAGGTAAAGGATACAAGCGTCTTTGTGTGGATGTAGTATTAGCATATAAATAATTTAAGGGCTAGTTTTATACATTATATACATCATGTCAATACCATTCAATAATATAACATATCTTGTTTCGGCGTCCTTTCATTTACTCCATAGATAGCGTTCAGAAGCTATACATTGGCAGATTAAACAGGAAGTCATAATTCATTATAGTTTCGTATCAATTGAACAGTTAGAATAAAATAATTTATGATTTAAAAAGGCTCTAGCACCCCCTACTAAAACATCTAGTCCATTAACTAATCAATTGAGTTGTATATCATGCTTTTGCATCTGGTCTTCACCATTTGAAGTTTCATTCAACTCTGAAGCATGACAATGAGAATCTGTGTTTCAAGTGTGTTTGCACATGTTATGCAGAAATAACATTTGATGAAGTCCTGGAAGCCGGATAGACTATCCATCCAAAGAGTAAGAGATACCTGAGATTGAATAAACTCAACAATTTCTTGCATCCTCGCAGACTGCTGAGAGTGTATGCCACCAAAAGTTCTTTCTAGTGCAGGTAGGTTTTCCAAAATTATTTGAAGATAGCTCTAGCAAAATAACAATAAGTCAACTACAACAGTGGAACAATTAAGCGGCTATGATATGTAGCTGAAGTCCAACAGAAAGCAAAACAATTCAAAGGGGGAAAACTGCCAAAAAGTCAATACTTTAGTAGTATATGAACCATCCAATTTAAGCATTGAACCAGCTGCTGCCACGGCATTCTTATCAACACCCTTAATCTGAATGTATGGACCGGAGACATCTTGTAGATGGTCGACCTCAATCAGAATCTGAAAGTAGAAAAGGACAACCTTTTACTGCCAACTAGTTATTCTGACGCTTGACGCTGTTAAAATAGCCCAAGTAACTAAAGTACGAACGTTGGGGATTGGAAGGACATTAAGACAGGCAGTGATATGACATCATTGCTAACCAACAGTTAATTTTGTATTAGTAACCTAATGCTTGTTCATCAGCCAATACATGCATGGCATAATGGCATATACAAGTATAATTAATTTAAGGGTTTCACTATGAATGAACATATGGCACGTATGCCATGTGGCCATGTTTAAGTCAACATCTAGGGTTCTCACATCAAGTACCGAATATATGTTGAGGATATTTAAGTATTATGATTACTTTTTTTCCCCCCTTTTTGGGCATGTACCAAGGATATCCCTCAATTGATAGCTAAGGATTAATCCCTTCTGAGATGTACATATCACAAAAGTGGGCCTTGCTTTTTTCCAACAAGGTCTTTTTCATATACATAACTAGGGATTGAACCCTTGACAACATGCTTGAGAGATCTAACTCCTGGCCAACTGAGCGTAACCTTGTTGGTATTTAAGTATTATTTAAGCACTTAGCTTTACATTGAAAGTTAAGGCCTAACACGAGAAAATTTTGTTCTCAGATCCGGATAAGGATAACTAACTATAGACAACTCATCAGCTGTCTTGCTGATATAAGAAAATTTTGTTCTCACAGATTCAGGTTTAAAATAACTAACTATCGATGTCTCTTAAGTTGTCTAACTGATTGCAAAATTTAAAAGAAGTAGTTCTCATACAACACAGGGCTTCACTTTTGAAAGTTCTATTAGACGTGGTTGACAGTTTGAGAGTTCATATAACCTGAGACTTGACTCTGCAAAGATCCTGTTGCAAAGATCTCAGCACTAAAATTAGTCAAGCTCAGATTTGGAGAGGGGGGGGGGGAGCTGGAATAAATTTATGCCAGGCGCGTAATTTCTACTCAAATAATCAGATTCGCAATCAAATGTGAGTCATATAATAAAATAGATGACCTTTCCATCCTGGTAAATCAACGCAGATGCTTCAATATAAGCTACTGCCTGATACCTGAAAGAAGTGTAGACATTACCTCAACCATAATTCACAAGTACATTAACTCTGACACAATGAATTTGCAAATATCATTAGCTAGACATCATACTATGGTCAAATTTGTTATATAGTGTCCATTCACTTGCATATCAATAGATATATTGTACAGCAGCAATAAAAAATTGAGCCTAATCTCAACATTCAGAGTTTCTACATAAGCTTCTAATCAGATTCTAGGAAGAGGATATCATTACTTCCAGAACATCCTTATACTTCTTAGCCTATTTTTTTAGCATTAAAATGTGGCTTACCCAAGATTGAAAAGACCTGCAACCGTACTAATGCCAATATCAAAATCCACTTTGGGCTGAATGATGAAGTTTCCTTCTCTAATAGGCTGACAATTGCAAGATAATAGGATAAAATTACTAATCAAGTATAATTAACAAAGATAAGCTGCGAGTTGATATGTGTTATATAACTGGAAACATGTGCTGGTATCAGCAAGGAACTTATGGAGATGGAAAATAGGAAGGGGTTGGAATCCAACCTCACGTATCAACAAAGCAAATTTTCCTTCACATATTCTGACTCTTATGCAATCACCCTCTGTCAACTGTCCGTTAGAGGGGATCCCAGGAAGCTTTAAATATATATCAATGAACTTCTGAACAGAACTGCAAAATTTTGCTGGATCAAGAATCGTAAGAATGTCTTGATAAGCTACCTGTTGTCAATTGTGATCTTCAGCAACTAAAATGAAGACAACTTGTATTTAATAAGACTTAATTAAAAATACAGATCAAGATCTTACCTTTTTGTTGCTCTTCAATACAAACAAGGAACTCTCAGGGGAAAGAACAGGGTCAAAGTCATTTCTTATCTTAAGCTGCAGAGAGAGAAAAACAGTAAATGCAGCTTCCACAAGTTTAAAAAAGAAGCTAACTTAACAGTAAAAAATTATGTCCAATACATCCGTTTATGAAAGAGGAAAACAACTCCACCAACTACAAGGTTATATCACAATAAAAATGATTAGGGTGACGGGAGGAATTAAAAGAGTAAATCATGCAATAAGGAACATTAGCAAAAAATTATCAACACTTATGTTCTAAAGAATTAATAAAAAGGAAGAATGCTATCCACTAACATGTGCATGGACAAGATGTGGTTCAATATGCATCTGGAACATAGGAAATACTGTCATCATAATCTCATTTTGAGACATAAAACATCCCACTCTACTCTTATCCCTTTGAACTCGAGATATCAAATGTGAATGAACACCTCCTACCTGTTTCAAACAAACGAGTAAAAAGGAAACAAGTTACTCCACGGACTTCCTTGAATTGACCAAACAGAATTAGAATTTTAGAAAGAAGACAGAGCCTTCAGAGATAGAAGGAAACTCATTCTTACAACAGCAATCCACAAGTCAAGAGATTTTCGCATATCAGGATGCAAAGCATAAACCCCTTCAAATATAATCTGGTCAAAACAAACACAAATCTAAGGGACCCACAAGAATAAATGGTAAAGACACACAAACTAGAATAAATAAGATATTCAAGTTT